AAATGTTTGGGAAAATCCTTATACAAATATTTTCTCGCATTGGAAAATTTTCTTTATTCTTCTTGAAAAATGCCGTCAACATTGAATTTTTTTCTTTCTCCCTATCAACAATGTCTTCCATTCTGTCACCGTCTTTGAACCTAACCAACTGTTGATTCGGGAGATGTATTTGCAAGGCCATCACACAAGGGTGGATTTTTGAAAGAGGAAAGCTAAAAACTCGCCATAATGCCTCAGGAGGGGACACATAACGTGCGTCTTGAAACTTTCGTATCTCATTAATAACAACATTTTCTTGGTCTTTATCAATATGGATAACTTGTTTGTCATGGCCCTTATAAACATATTTGAAAAGGTACTTCACAGACTTTATACCCGAACAAACCTCAACGTTGATATGACAGTTAAACATCATTAACAACTTTGGGTTGTATGGAGCCACCCATATGTTATCCAATGATGTATTTCTTACAGTCACCTCAATTCCATTATTTCTCCTTCTATATAATGGATATTAGTCCTCTCCTTGTGATGTCTTTTCATTGAATTGCCTAGGATATCTGAAACGACATATTTTTGGTACACCTTGCATACATGGACTTTTTTCTCGTAAGCTACCACAAGGACCGTGCATCATGTGACTTTTGACAAGATCATGCATTTCAGGAAACCTTATTGGGTCGGGAATTTCCGCACACACAAGTTTGTCATAATCGTCTGGATTATTCATCTTATATCCAGGTGTCATTATTAAGAGGAAATGTGCATGTGGCAATCCACGCTTTTGAAACTCTATCACATACACATATGACCCCACCACACCGATTATATGTCTCTGGAATAACTGTACCTTGAGATCCTCTAACTTAGCATGAAAAACTCTTGCAACAAGGTCCTTGCAACAAGGTCCGGTCGATCTTGAGCTGACTGTCCAGGCAATAACTCATCATCGATTTCTTTCCATTTTGGGTTGCACGTCATTGTAAGAAATATATCAGGCCTCCCATCATCTTGAACTAAAGCCATGGCATCCAGAAATCTTTGACGCATGTCACGTGGACCTCCAATGAAACTTGCAGGTAACACAACTCTCTGTCCAACCCTACTTGGTTGAGCCTCACCGGCATTGAAGCAATCAACAACGCCCTGGTATAAATCGGCTCTAATTTTGGTTTGGTTCTTTTCAACAAAAACCAAACGTGTAGTCTCAATCTTTATATAGGTATCTACTGCAAACTGTTGGAACAATCTCCCTCCCATCAAAATCACATTATCATTCGACCGTATCTGGAACTTGTAACAATAGTATTCCCGCATACTTACAATATTTCTGCCTTTTTTTGAAGTAGATCCTGTGATATCATAATTTATGTGAAAAATATAAATTTAATATCCAAATATTTAAGGCAATATCTGTTACATGTTTTAAGTATGTAAAAGAATGTTAAAGGCGTACCTTCTGAACCTTCATCATTGTCTTCATTGTCACTATTAATTTCATCCATGGCGACCCCATATCTTGGTATTTTAGGATGCCATCCAGACTCACCATTGGGAAAGAATAAAGGATACGACAAAGGATCATAACAACCAAAGTGAGGTTGAATTTCAATACTATAGTTAGACCTCCCATAGACAATAATACTTCTTTTATATGCAGTGATGTTGTCATTTCCTTCAACCCAAATACCAGCAACCTATGCAAAGGTGTAGTTCAATATGGTGATTAATATGATATGTATAATAATAAATATGACACATTTAATTTTAAAATGAATAAAGATAAATGTTAATATTCACACCTCAGATGTGGTCGGCTTATTGTACACCCTTTGGTCAATTTCCACCGATGCATTCAAAGTCACTCTATAAGTATCAAGCGGTCCTAGATCAGAAAGCCGTTTAAATTTTCTAACGTACGGATTCGAAGCTAGAATACGTGTTAGTTTTTGGATGATTCTTCTATCAACATTCTTCCAGGAGGATCTCTGTGATATTTCAGCTTCACCGTCATAAAAATACAACTATAAATACCTTGATTTTCCATCCCTTGAAATTAACTGATCGATATTATGATAGAGTGTTCCGTGCGCAAAAAAAGTGTAAACTCTAGAAGTCATATTGGCCAATTCTTTATCCACCTTTACACCCAGTGATGCGAAAGAAAAGTTTGAGTTATACGCCCTTATATTGTACCTGAAGCTTTCTTCTAGTTGCTCTTGCCTTGTGAAGAGTTGGTGCAATTCTGTGGGAATAGGGGAGTGTGCCAGTTTTGTCTTCCCACTCATGCAACAAAAGGTAGGGAATTCATATTGTAGTCGCTTTGCTCCACAATAAACACAAGGGTTTTGAGCCTTTAATATACGATGTTCCATACGGATATTTTCATAAACAAAATCATATGGATCCTCCTGAAAGGCGTATACTCTTCTTTTTGTCATCATAGTTCGTTCCTTTCTTCGTTGATAATATTCTTTATTATAAGTACTCGTCCTCTGAGCAACACTTATAACACTCATAGAGGAATCTTCGTTGATATTTGTTTCGTTTGTCTCCATTGTAGTGCAACTTGTGAGTGTTGTAGGTTGACTACATCCTTCACCGTTAGCTATCATTCTCATTTTGTTTTTCTCTTTTTTTCGTGCATAATAGTTTCTATTGTATCTTTTTCGATTTTCTACAACTATATTATTTTGATAAATAGTCATATATTATAAATGCAAATATATACTCATATAAACGACATACCTTTTTCTATATCTATCGGGTTTTGGGAATCATCACAGTTTTCGTTTCCCTTATCTACGGTCTTCATTGAACACTATAATGGAAATGTTAAGAATAAACACATATTATATCATCAAATATGTAACATTTTGTAATGTAGACCATGTGATTTAGTAGTCATGTATGTGTGTATTTCAGAAAACAACACAACCCTTAATAAATAACCAACTATGCTAAAAACTTGTAATCCAAAAACACAATAGAAGAAACTTATACATAGTTAAAAGAAAATTTCCATAGATATCCAAAAATTATTATTTATCAATTCATAAGTCAATACAAGAAAAATAAACCACACATGAAAAAATTCACCACAATATGTCTAACATTAATGTAGATCAACAATAAAAGCAACGCACTCGTAAAAGTTGTCAAAACTTCAAAAAAAACACCACCAAATGTCTCACACGGAATTAAAAACTCTTCTAGGCATATTTATGATGTTAAATGCTTCCGGCATCCGCGGTTGGAACTCTACGTTGCTTAGTTTGGTTGATATCAAAATGTTCACTGAAAATAAGATAAAAACTATTAAAATGTATTGATTTAGTTATTTTAATATCACTACAAGTATTATAATTTTCTAGAAATAACTTACTTGAATCCAAATGAACCAATTTCACCCGAGAAACAAATATTATATACTTTCTCTTTATCGCATAGACAGTCCTCACAATCTTATGGCGTGTTCGGTCGGTTATATGTAGTTTCATCTTTATTATACTCCCCCAATTTATAATCAAATATTTCCAAAGTCACCTAATTTTGTTTTAGTGTAATAATAATAATAATAATAATAATAATAATAATAATAATAATAATAATAATAATAATAAACACTTACGGCCCATCTTGGAGATATAAAGTGAAAGAAGTTAACGTTAGTAAACCAGAGTAACGGGAATAGTTTTGCTTGCCTCTGATGATTTTTCCAACAATATCTAAAAATAGCGATAATTAAAAGGATAACTTGTTATTATTTTAAAAACTTTATAATGCTAAAAGTATATATAATTTATCAAATTTACCGATCATCATTTTTCTCTCATTCCGATCCTCTACTAAACTTTTTATTGAGGGAACCAATGGGAAAACCGAAAACCATGATATGATAGCATCGGCCAAACGATTAAACCGTGTGTTATTGCTGATCTTAATCATCAAATCGCCACGTAATAAACTGTATTCTTGATACCTCGGATACTCAACATAGGTTGGTTCGATTTGGAAATGGTTTAAAGAAAACACACCACCCAATAGATTCCCTCCATAAATAAAGCGCATCATTTGTTGTGGAACAACTGCTAACAATTTCTCTCTCTAATAGAAAATGTAATATTTTTATAAACAAAATACTTATGATAAATTATGAAAATGAAAATAAGATATAAATAGTTTTTTAAACATACATTTTGATCAATGAGAACCATAAAGAGTTTGTTTGCTCTTGAGTCCCTCCAAATGAAATCAACATGAACGGGTGTCAAAACATACACAAATGGTAGTTTAGTAGCAATGAAAATGCATCAACGTAAATTTGACCATTCATGATTCTACAAAACGAAAGTCAGATGTGATTGATGTAGAATTGATTTACATCATTTTTTATATTAAAAACTATGTCGATTTGAGATGCCCAAAGTATAATAACATATGTATCGTAAATTTGAAATATCCAAGCAATAAGAGTTTTTGTTACATGATTTATTTATTAAATATTACAGAAAACCTAAAGCATATATTAATAACAAATATTAATAAGATTTATTTGATCTGAATTGTAAGATTTAAAAAGTTTAATAACAAATATTTAAGTAAATAATGGATGTTACAAAAAGTCAAAAACAAATTTTGAAGACCGTTGGATAAAACTGCTTTAAAGACTAAAAAAGATAGGAGTCTGAACTCTGAAACTCTGAATTCTGTTCGCAAATAAACCGAGAGAAAAAGGACCACTTATTTTTAATAAGGCCCAATACTGTTTATACTTTTGGGCCATGAGAATGTTATATGACTTCTGAAGACATTAAAATAAAACCCAATTCATAGTACACTTATTTTTAATAAGGCCCAATATGTTCAGAGTCGAGACCGATATCATGTTTTTTGCTCTATCGCTCTAAAATCTAAATAAATATATAGCACACAAGTCAAATCAGTTTTAAAGCCATCTAAAGCAAGCTACGCTAAGGTAAAATTATATGTATATACAAGTTATGATAAGGAAATAACATATAATAATTTAAAGAATACGATGTGAGGACATTGACGAATCAAATAATAAAAAAAAACTTTTAGCCCACGACTGTTCATCTTCTTCAAAGCTGTTAAATTTTAAGAAAAAGACAACTCCTTTTGTCTCGTTAAAAATGGAAGATTTCTATTTTAAGATATTTTTATAAATATTCGCAAGATTTTGATTTAAATAGAAGGTTTTTTTTAGTACTAACATGAAACACAATGCCCTATTTCAAGCCCGTGTGCTAATGTTATAATGATTGTGTCTATTTTAAAGTTTTTCGTATATTTGCAACATAAAATATTTAAATTTAAATGCATGAAAAAAGTTATGGTTATTTGAAATCACATTACATAAGTTTGATCTTGTTATTTTTAGGTCACAAGTTTCTTTTTTTAACATATTTTAGATATTGTTAAAATTCATATATTTTGTTAGATTATGTGTTAAAATGATTCACTTAGTATTTATTATATCACCGGCAAGACTTCTTGATATTATCTATATTATAAAAACTAATTTTAATAATTTTCTTTGGACTTGAAACTTTCTACACCCACTTATAAAAAAAAATTACTTATTGTTGGAACAGTATAATATTGTAACTACGTAATTTGTTAATTATTATTTACTATCAAAAGAAAAAATTACTGATAAACTCGAATCAAGTCAAATTGACCAATTATTAAATCCTTATGAATATATTATATTACTGTTAATTAATAACAAATTTTGTGTTACTTATACATTATAATGATAATTTTTTTTGTTGTAGATGGTATAGTTCTTATAAACATGAATTGTGTTATAAAAAATTATTGTATATAACGAAAAATTATGTTATTTGTTTTAATGCAAACACATTAAGACCCACTAAAGTATGATGAAATGAACAAACCGGAGCAATTTTAATGGTCATTCGTGATAATATAAATATTATGAGTACCGTGGTAAAATGATTATGTATATTAATAGACGTATTAATTAACTTAAATTATAAAACCAGTTTGTTATTTTTAAAAGAACAAATGTTATTACAGTTCACATTAAAAATAAGAAAAGAAAAATGACAGCCAGAAAATAGATTATACTTAACTGTGAATGATATATATGTATCAAAGTACTTTATACCATTCATGAACAACAATATATTGAATTGATAATCAAACAAACAAGCATGATGCAAACAACAAAAACTAAACCTCATCCTGAATGCAATTTTTAAAAAACAATCTTCACATGGTTACACCAAATTCGATCTAGTAAAGTAGAAGAAGTAATAATATTTTCTTTTAAATAATATCATACTAAAAATAAAATATATATTAGAAGCTGAAATTACTGTAAATGTTAGTAAATTTTACAAATAAAAATAATTCCTTCTAGTTATTTTTAGAAAAGAAACTTATCATTTAATTAAATATCATGAAATACTAAATTTTTTTTTTTAATAAAAAAGGGTTATATTACAATTTTCATTCCAATCCAGGACCGGAATGAAAATTAACAAAATGGAAGGAATCAGAATTCAAATGCCTTTGGGAATGCTCAATTCCATTCCATTCTTCCGATTCCATCATACCAAACAAAACAAAATAATTCTTAATGTAAAACCCACAGGCCCAACATACAGCTTATATTTCAAGTTGAGTCATATTCAAATTGTGAAGGAAAAATATTAATTTTTATTAAATGTTAAAATTTATAATATATAAAAATAATACCTTCTTTTCCTCAACTACAGGTGCAGAAGGTTTAGGTGCAGTGGGGTCTTCTGCAGGCAATCCAAGCTTCCTCCTCCTTTCAGCCTGTAAAACAGATTTATAGTGATAATTAATTAATTATTAATTATTATTATTATATTAAGAATTTAAGACCTTATCTTCTTCCAACTTTTGTCTGATTGTTTCTCTAGCCCTTCTTTCCTCTTCCTTTTCTGCTTTACGCAAGGCTATAATGCTACAAAATACAATAAAAAAATTCCTTTTAGGAAATAGGAATATAGAATTAAATATTTTGGAGTAAAAATAAATAAATAAATAAAGTTACCGTTTTCTTTCATTTTCTTCCTCCATGCGTTTTCTTAAAAGAGAAGAACATATTACACATTCTACTTGGAATATTGGATGAAATTATGTTAAGAGTTTCACAAACTGAAGGCCACTTTAAGAACCAAGAGTATAAATGTATAATTTAACACAATTTTACAAAACTGAAATTAAGTTTTGAGATTATTTATCTTTCAAGAAAAAGAAATAATAACCTTCTCTCTTTCTCTTTCCATTCTCTTTTCTTCCTCCTCTTTCTTCTTGCTTGCTCGCTCTCTTAAACATAAGCAAAGACCAAAATATGAGTTAACTAAAGAAGTAAAATAAAAAAAAAACATTTTCCAAATTTTTAATAAACGGATAAAGAAAGAAGAATAAAAAAATTATACTTCAGTTCTTGTGCTTTTGATTTTCTTTCTTCAGATGTAAGAGAAGGCTTCGAAGGTTCTGATTTACTCTTCGCAGACACCTTAGCAAAGAGTAACATAAAACTTAGTAAAAAAGTAAGCTTGATAAATTATTTTCCCATTTGATACTATAAAGGCAAAAGAATTTTAAACAGATACATGTTAAATATTAATAAACAGATTTCTTGGAATAAGCAATGTTAAGTGAGTATGAGAGAAAGAGAGTAAGAGTACCAAAGGCATTTGATCTATGTCTGCATCTTCTTCATGTTCAACAATCCAATTTGTACCAGTCTGGCTCTTTCATCTTCTAAATCAGAAGCTGCAATCCATTCAATGGAGGGTTTCAACGAACATGCAATGCATGCATGGAGAAGGGCCTGCACTTGATTTCAAGTTCAAGTTCATGTCTAGTAAAACTAAAACAAACATACTGTAATGTTATTGCAAAACTATAACTCTAACTGTACCTTAACAACAGAAAAATAGGAGTCTGTTAGGCCAACATATTTCCCAACCATTGCAATCTTCACCTGCAGTTGCACACCAACACGAAAAGAGACAGGGTATTAAGTAACTGAAATGCAGTAGTAAGTAGTAAAGGAGGAAAATGATACCAACAGAATTGGTGAGGTTGTCAAAAGTTTCTGCCCTGTTAGTCCACTCTTGTAAATTTGGAGGTCTTGCTACACTGAAGCAGAGAGAGAGAGAGAGAGAGAGAGAGAGAGAGAGAGAGAGAGACAATAAATATTATCACATTCCTTCTACACATACTACTGACAATAAATATGTGCTCACCGCAGTAGTGCTAGCTGTTTCAGGATTGCCTCATGAGCATTTTGGTTCTGGGAAAATTTAGAGATGATGAGAAATATATCTATCTCAATTATCAAAGGAATACAAACATCTACGCACCCGAAGTAAAAGAGGAACATGACAAATGTTTGGAACATCATGTATATTAAGAATGTTGGCAGCCTGTTTGTTGACAAAATCAATCAATCAATCAGAAATGAACAACACAAAGCCAAGGACAGCCTATTAACCAGAAACTTACAGGTACATGACAAAATTGTGAGAGTTTCTGCTTTGTGTTTTCCAACAATGGCTGCAAGGTAAACCAATACTTTGATTGCTTAAGTCTTAACTCTTAACCACAACACACCCATTCATAAATCATACCTGAGCTGAACGACATGCTAAAAAGTGAGGGGTCAGGCCTAAAGCTCGCAGTTCCCGGACACTGTGATGTGTAGGCTTAGTTTTCTGAAGAAAAAAAAAAACAATCGGAGTGATTCAGTAGATAATTTAGAAAAAGAAAAATGTATTTCTCCAAAAATAGAATAAACTGTTTGTTAAATGTTAGTCAAGAAAATTCCAGAAAATAATTTAGAAAAAGAAAGAGCACATGGATTCAGTAGAAGCTCCAGAGACGAATTTCACCAGCTTCTTCATCGGAGGGATCAAATGAAGACTCGCTGTTCATCACATCATTGTACCTTGGTGAATCAAAGACGTTGCACCATGGTGCAACCATCGACATCAAGGTGCCATCAAGTGGATCGTTTTCAAAAGACAATCTCTGGCTTTTCTCATTAGATGAAGTTATTGATTGAGATGGTGAAACCGGTGATAATGGTGATGAATAAAGATGGAGATGGTGGTGGTGGTGGAGATGGAGATGGAGATGGACCGGTACTGGTGGCAGCCGCCGCTAGATTTGCAGTTGGGCCCTTAACGCATAAAAAGGCTGCATCATAGGCTCTTGCTGCTGCTTCAGGAGTTGAGTAAGATCCTAACCATATTATTGATTTCTGATTTGGTGCTCTTATCTCAGAAACCCATGAACCCCAACTCCTCATTCGCACTCCTTTGTATCTCCCTCTGGTAATCAATGGTGATGGTGACAGTAGAGAAGTAACATAAACCGACTGTTAATAGCTAGAAGAGTTAGGGCTTTTTCTTGTTTATGGTGTGCGATGTCTGGTGGCGATGGAGGGGACACTCTAGGGTTAGGGCTTGCAGTTAGGGTGGCGATAGCGACGACTATAGGAGGGTGGTGGTAATGGAAGCCTATCGGAGATTGAAGAAAGTGAGGAGGTAGACGGAATAGATTTGGAAGAAGCTTTTGGAAGAAACGATGGCTGATAGTGTCTAGAGGGTATTAGGGTTTTCCACGAGAAGCTTTGACCGTACGTTATAATGATACGTGCGTGTATACGTATACATTGTAAGCTATTAATAGATCGTACATGGTGTTATAAAATGTATACCTCTTTCAATTTTCAAAATATGTTTAATATATATATATATATATATATATAGAGATTTTCAGAAATTACTTTGGTCTGTAATTTAAAACAATAACGAGTCCCATTTGATTTCAGAAAACAACTATACACAATTTGATCAATTTGGTGGGTACATTTGTTTTTTAGAATGAAGCTTTATTTAGAATCACTTGGAAAACAAAATTAAATATGTCTAACAATTTGATTGTAGTTATAGTGCACTCCTATTTCCATCAAAAAATCTGTTTTGTCACTAAAATGTGAAGATAAGGACACTAAGAGAAAGAATTGATCAAGAAATGTGATTATGTGCAGAGGAATTCTAAAGATTTGCGTAAACTAATCAGTTGTGGAAAAGATGAGAAAAAAACAATAATACAATTGTATTTCATATTTTATTTTGTAAACTAACAAGTGAAAGACATATAATGGCTAGGGTTTCGTATTATTATCAAAGAGAAGTACAAATACAATGAAAGGGAAAGACATAATATATAGACAAACTAATTAGGGTTTCCTAGCGAAAAGGTCCAATCATAAAACTCAATACAAAATAAAGCCCAAAATCTTATTAGGCTAACACCCCCCTTTAAACTCACAATGCAACAGCAATAAGCATTGAGAGTTTGTCAGACAGAAAATGAAATCGAGGAGCAGTCAACGGCTTCGTAAGAATATCAGCAATCTGCAAAGAGGAAGGAACATAAGGAAGGAGATAGTGCCCTTCTAGAGATGATGACGTGTGAAATGACAGTCAATCTCAATGTGCTTTGTGCGCTCATGAAACACTGAATTCTTGGCAATCATTATCGCACTCTCGTTATCACAATACAAAGGGGTAGGCTGAGAGATGTGAATGCCCATATCTGCAAGAAGCCATCTCAACCAAACAATCTCACAAGTGGCGATAGCCATGGCTCGATACTCAGATTCTGTAGAAGATCGAGAAACAACATCTTGTTTCTTGCTTTTCCATGATATCAATGAATCTCCAAGAAAAACACAATACCCAGTAGTGGACTTACGATCATAAATATCACTATCCCAATTTGCATCACTATAGGCACGCAACTCAAGAGAGGATGAAGAAGGAAACATAAGAGTGTGGAACTGAGTACCACGTAAATATCTTAAAATACGAAGAACAACTCCCCAATGAACAGTAGTATGAGCAGTGACAAACTGGCTAACCACATGAACTGCATGAGCAATATCCGCTCTAGTGACAGTCAGGAAAACCAAACTCCCAACAATGGTACGATAAAGGCTTGGATCTGATAATGGGACACCATCAGTTGGAGAGTACTTTGCATTACTCTCTATAGGCGTATCAACTGTTCGATTATCCGTGAGTTATGCATGTTCAAACAAATCTGAAATATACTTCGTTTGAGATAAAAGATAACCCTTTGGAGATTGAGCAACTTCAATCCCCAAGAAATAACGAAGCAATCCCAAGTCTTTCATAGCAAAACGGTGAGCCAAATCACGCTTTAAAGACTCTATACCATCATGATCATCACCAGTAATAATCATGTCATCGACATATAAGGAAAGAATAATCCGACCTGCATTCGTACATCGAATAAATAGAGCCGAATCATGGTTACTTGGTTGAAAACCAAGAGAAGTAATCATCGTAGAAATTTTCTCAAACCAAGCACGAGGGGCTTGTTTGAGGCCATATAAAGCCTTCCAAAGTCGACAAACTTTACCTGGTCGGTGAGCAATACCAGGGGGAGGAGACATGTATACTTCTTCATGAAGATCACCATTCAAGAAAGCATTATTGACATCCATCTGATAAATCTTCCATTGGCGAATGGAAGAAACTGCAATCAAGGTGCGAACAGTCGTCATTTTTCCAACAGGAGCAAACGTCTCCTCATAATCCATACCATACTTTTGCGCGTACCCTTTCGCAACAAGTCTGGCTTTATAATGCTCAACGGATTCATCAGACTTTGTTTTGATTTTATAAACCCAACGACAACCAATCGTGTGTTTTCCGGGTGGAAGTAGAACCAAATCCCATATATGAGTCTGATAAAGAGCTGCAAGTTCCTCAGCCATAGCGGTGTGCCAAAAGGGATCAGAAATGGCCTCTTTGTAGGATGTTGGCTCAGAGAGACGATGTACATTAGCAATAAAAGAGGCAAAAGCCGGTGAGTAAAAGGAATAGACAAAGTCAGGAAGATTTGTGGACTTCTTATTATGATAAGGCCTCGATGGAGGGGGATCTTGATGATTTGCAGGCATAGGATCAACGATAGGTGCTGGATCAGCCGCATGTGGTGGATCAGCAACAAGTGGTGGATCAGTGACATGTGGTGGATCACCAATGTCAATGCTAAACGGATCAATACTACGAAGCTCCTCTCGGGTTGCATCATGTGACCGAACAGGAATGCTATAGAATGGAATATGCTCCAAAAAGGTGACATTGCGAGATACATACAGTTTCTGATTTGAAGGATCATAGCATCGATAACCTTTCTGACCAATACCATATCCCAGAAAAACACAAAGAGCTGATTTTGAAGACAACTTATCTCTCTCTACATGAGGCTTCAAGACAAAACATGTACACCCAAACACTCGTAATGAAAAATAATCTAGGAGTTGTCCAAACAACATTTCATAAGGAGACTTCCCTGAAGTGTACGCAGTAGGAATGCGATTAATAACATAAGTGGCGGTATGAACAGCTTCTCCCCAAAACATATTGGGAACTTGAGCAGAGAGTAGTAACGATCTGGCAGTTTCTAGGAGATGTCGATGTTTTCTTTCCGCAACACCATTCTGATGAGGAGTGTCTGTATAAGATGATTGATGTATAGTGCCATCAGATGCCAATAATTGTTTAAAATAATTTGAGGTAAATTTTCCTCCCCGATCACACCGAAAACATTTTACGACAACAGAGTGTTGAGTCTTGACAAGAGCTCTGAATTCACTATATATGGTGAAAAAGTCAGACCTGCGCTTCATAAAATAAACCCACGTATAACGAGTGTAATCATCAATGAATGAAGCATAATAGTTAGCTCCTGATTTGGAGGTGATCGGAGAGGGACCCCACACATCAGAATGCACAATATCAAAGGGAGCAACAGAACGAGTGACACTTTTATTAAACGGTAAAGCAGAAAATTTTCCCAGTTTACAACCACAACAATAAAAAATATCATCAAATTTCAAAGAGCCTAACACACCAGTGGAAACCAAAAACTGTAAACGAGATGCCGACACATGTCCCACACGAGAATGCCAAAGATAAAAAGGAGACGATGAAGGGTTTAAACGAAAAGACGACAAATCGACACTAGATGCAGCAACATCAGCAACATGTAGCTGCTCCAAGACATAAAGCTCCCCAAGTCTACGGCCTATCCCAATCACCCTCCGAGACCGAATGTCCTGTATACAGCAGAATGAATCAGAAAGAAGACCTAACAACCAGATTTAGACAACTGACTGACCGATGCAAGATTCAAAGCAAGTGTAGGAATGTAATACACATCTGTTAAAGATATATAAGGAGTGACAATAGAACCAACACCCTCTACTGACATGGGTGTAGCACTAGCAGACATAACAGAGACAGGTGTACGAGAAGATAATGAAGCAAAAGATGAAAAATGTGGTGACATGTGATGAGATGCACCAGAATCCAATATCCACGACGATGAAGGAATACCTGACGTGTTGGATGAAGACAGACCTGAATGAGACATGGAAGCTGACATGGTAGTTGGATTGGTAGCTAAGAACTGTCTGAACTGCTCAACAATCTGTGGATCCAAGGCTGATGGTGGTGTGAAATCTGTTTCATTCTTAACTGAAGGTGTAGCAGCAGCGTACCGTGGTGGCCTAAAAGATGAAAAAGAGGGACGTGACTGTCCAGAAGACTTATTCTACTGTGAAGACTGAGACTGTGCTGGTGATCTTGTTTGTTGTTGCTGCTGATTTCCCTTGCTTGTCAGCAAAGGACAATTTGCCTTCCAATGGTTCTTCTTCTTACAGAAAGCACACTCATCAAATGCAACTCTAGGACGAATTTGGTTTGAAGATTGGGGTCGTTGTGAAACAGCAAAGGCAGCAGGAGTGGCTGTCTTGGGAGCTTTGTCAGCATGGGACTTAATACAAGTTTATTCAGCAATCAACTCGTGAACAACCGAATCAACAGTAGGAAGAGGTGTACGATGCAAGATTGATCCACGCAGACCTTCAAAATCTGAATGTAATTCCATCAACAACTGAACCAAATGTTGCTCTTCCCTTCTATCAATATACGGCTTAAAAGCCTTCAACACATCATGTTCTTGATCGATTTCGTTGTCTCAATAAAAAATAACCTCAAAACCACTAGATAGCTAGGGTAAGCAAGGGTCGAATCCACGAGGAGTTTGTGGTCAAACTTTGTGCTATAGTAGTCAATGAAAAAGAACTAATACTTGCAGTTGTCACGAAAAATATTTAAACTAAGATTTAAATAAAAAAAACTAGAAACCTTATATTGCAAACAATTACCAATGAGAAAAATAAGATTACTTCTGGTTCAGTGTCGG